GGAGAAACAGGAGAAGTGACTTGTGTAAGAGCATACAGCTCAGCTAGTTGCTGGGGGGGTCCAGGATTCAAAATGGACTCCAAAGATGGTGTTATGTTTAGCCACAGTGCCAACAGGACTCTAAGATCCACTAGCAAGAAGAGTGAAGGCAGAGGGCAAACTGTGCAAGTCGGTCTGGCTCATGGCAACTAGAGTCTAAATCAAAGTGCCTAGCCAGAAGTCTCCAGCAGTGTGCCAAGTGACCGGAAGCTGGAGAACCTCCTGGGGTCCTTTGGTGAGCTTGGATTTTTCTGGTGATTGATCACTGCGGAGACCTGGGACAGGGCCCCCCATTGCTGTCATCTTTCTCTTGACCTCATGATTAGTCCCTGTCCCTTCTTTCTGTCCTTCACTGGCTTTTCTCTTCCCTGGACCTTTGAGTGGCAGGGAGCAGAGGCACAAGATTTGGCCTCTCCCTTCCTCTCTCTAAGCATATCAGTCCTTCAATCCTTTTGTGGGATTTTCTCCTCCTAGTAACTACGCAGGACATTATAAAGCTACAGGAACTTGGCTGGGCACAGTGGCTCATGCCTGTAATCTCAGAACTTTGGGTGGCCGAGGCGGGCAGATCACTGAAGTCAGGAGTTTGAGACCAGCCTGGTCAACATGGTAAAACCCCATCTCTACTAAAAATACAAAAATTAGCTGGGTGTGGTAGAGCACGCATGTAACCCCAGCTACTCAGGAGGCTGAAGCAGGAGAACTGCTGGAACCCAGGAGGCAGAGATTGCAACGAGCCAAGATCGTACCACTGCACTCCAGCCCAGAAGACAGAGTCAGATTCCACCTTTAAATAAATAAACAAATAAGTAAATAAAGCTACAGGAACTGTTAACACACTGCACTTTTGGTTTTCAATAAAACAGGAGTGGACCTCAGCTTCATTGTTCCTTTGTCCTTTGTTGGCTTTCCTCTTAGTCTCTAGGGGACCCAGAGTCTCCTGACTGCTACACTCTCCATAATGAAGTCTCAGTCTTCAATATCCATAGTTTTCTCTGCAAATTTCAGAATTAATATTTTTTGCCAAGTGTTTTCCTTTCTCTCTTTTAATTGTGTGTGTGTGTGTTTGAGAGCTTTCATCTTAAAAATTAAACACAGTTTTGGATAATAAAGGAATGTTTACCCTTAAAACTATTCTACACATTTTATGTAATAATTTCTAAACATGGATCTTTTACCTCTAAAATAATATTTTCTATTTTTCCATTCCTTCTGCATGTGTAAACTCCTTCTTCCCTGGGCCCACCCCCAATTCCTGCCATCTCCTTATCTCCATCTGCCAGTTTTGATTTCTGGCCAACCACCAGATGTATGGTAACCACCAATTGAACTGGTAGGATCATATATTCAGTATGGAAACACCGTGGAAATTAGTCTGACATACATATTCTTCTGGCCCAAAAAGCTATGGAATTTTTTTTTTTTTTTTTTTTTTTGAGACAGGGTCTTGCTCTGCCACCCAGGCTGGAGTCAGTGGTGCAATCATAGTTCACTGCAGTCTTGACCTTGACCTCCTACACTCAAGCTATCCTCCCTTACTTAGCCTCCCAAGTAACTGGTACTACAGGGATTCTCCATTACTCCCAGCTAATTAATTTTATTTCTGTAGAGACAGGGCCTTACATGTTGCATAGGCTGGTCTCGAATTCCTGTGCTCAAAGGATGGTGTGGGCCACTGCACCCAGCCTGTTTTTTAAGAAGTCATTCTGCATTCAAAATGTGCAGCTAGCTCCTGTTCCCTACAGGTGAGGGAACATGAATCATTGTCTGGGTTATTCAAGAGGAATGTGCTCATTCTGGCCAGCATCTATCATTTATCTAGTTTATTGTTCCAGTCACTCATTCCAGGTTATTTACTGACTACTTATTTTCTAGTGTCTAGTGTGCTAGACACTAGGGTTATAAAATAACTGATACTGTGCTTTATGCACAAAATTGCTAATCCTATTACTGAAAATTTTATTAGTGACTTGTCTGACTAGGAAGTCACGGGTAGATATCAGTTGGCCCATTGCAAAATGAGGGGCTTGTATTAAGTGATCTTATAATTTTAAAGCCTCTAAAATGAAGGTATACAGGAGATTTGACTTCTTGCCTTAATCTAATCATTAAATTGCTCAGTGCCTTTTAGTACAATGTTCAGTCTCTAGATTTCAGTCTCCTTCTCCTCTGTAAAATGAATGATGGCCGAGCATGGTGGCTCACGCCTGTAATTCCAGCACTTTGGGAGGCCGAGGCGGGTGGATCACCTGAGGTCAAGAGTTTGAGACCAGCCTGGCCAACATGGTGAAACCCCGTCTCTACTAAAAATACAAAATTAGCCAGGTGTGGTGGCGCACGCCTGTAAATTCAGCTATTTGGGAGGCTGAGGCAGAAGAATCACTTGAACTTGGGAGGTGGAGGTTGCAGTGAGCTGAGATCGCACCACTGCACTCCAGCCTGGGCAAAAAGAGTGAAACTCCATCGCAATAAATACATAAATAAATACATAAAGTAAAATAAAATAAAATAAATTAAATGTACTAGAGCAGGTTAGAAAAACTGTCCAAGGAACTTTGTTTTGAGACAGGGTCATACTTTGTTGCCCAGGCTGGAGTGCAGTGGTGATCACTGCTCACTGCAGCCTCCATCTCCCAGACTCAAGTGATTCTCACACTTCAGCCTCCCAAGTAGCTGGGACTACAGGTGCATGCCACCACACCTGGCTAATATTTTTACAACATTTTTCACAGAGATAGGGTCTCACTATATTGCCTAGGCTGGGCTGAAGCAATCCTCCTGCCTTGGCCTCCCAAAGTGCTAGGATTATAGGCATGAGCCACTGCACTGAGCCAAGGAACTTTGTCAATAGATCTTTCTAGGATAAGAGGGTTCTGTGTTCAAGGAGGTCTCAGAAATGCTGGAGTCAATAGGTTTCTTTACTCCAGGATTTCTCAGAAACTTTACTGTGCCAATTTTGCTTCATGACTCTCCAAGGGGAAGACAGCAGATAATGTTTCCCAAATTTATTTGACAATGGAACCCTTTCCCCCAGAAGCATCTTTTTCATACTAATAATGTCTTTCAGAATACATTTGGGAAATGTCTTAAACATGCCCTCTAAAACCCTTTATTGCAGCAATTCTCTCTACCCTTGGATCAACTTCATATCACAGGTATCTGCTAGTTTATGTTCTAATATAACTGTTGTGTGCACAGTACTATTTCCTGTTTCTCTTCAAGTTATGCTTTCATTGTCTTTGGTACTTGGGCTACAATCTCATCAATCCTGGGTACGTGGCCTGCAAAATCATACATCTCATTAGCACTTTGGACAATAATGTCCAGAACAAATGTACAGTCCATTTTGCAAAGAAACATTCCACAGAGCAGCACAGAGGGAGCTCTTTGGAGGAAAGGGATGAAGTAAATGAATATGAAGAACAACAGCATTAATAGGGCAGAATTCCTCAGAAACACAGAAAAATATATTTGACATTTTGATGACTATATAACATAGTTTTTTCTGTCACAGGACTGCTGTTCCCAACCAAGACTGTTATGACTCAAAGTAACAGAGCTGAGTGGCTCCATGTAAAGTCTGTGTTCAACATCTGTCATGCTGGAGATCATTAATGTTCAATTGCTTCCTATTGTCTTCCTGTCATTCGACTTCATTTCATTGTCATTGCTTCAGCTGGGGGATTAATCAACTATTTATGGGAAGACAGGACTTGGAGTCAGGGCAGTCACAATGGGGTTATAGTCTGAGCAATGGTGGGGAAAGCAAGTCACGGTTAAAAGACTCCTGGTTTGTGACAGTTTGTTGATACTTTAATTAAATAAACATATTTGAGAATAATGTTGACATGTCCATATCTCAAAAGGAGAAAGAGCATACTTGCTCTTCCTAAAGAATCCAGTAAGGATTCTGGATTGAACCTATCTGGAGGTAGTTTTCTGGCTCATTATCCAGAGTACCCAGGATTGATGAGATTGTAACCTGAGTACCAAAGGCAATGAAAGCATAACTTGAAGAGAAACAGGAAATAGTACTGTGCACACAACAGTTACATTAGAACATACACTAGCAGATCGTCATTATCAATAGCAGAAATCATGCTTTGCTATTATTCCAGGGGGCAGTTGACACAACTGAAATGTTCAAAGATACAAACTATTTTCAAAAATTGTGCTTTAGGAACTATTTTTTAAAACCTCACAAGTTACTTAGATGTTCTCATTTTGCACAAAAATGTGCATTATGATTAGTTTTTTTTTTGATTTAAATGTTAAATGATTAAATGATTAGTTATCATCTCAGTGCATTTCCCACAAACATTTATGAACCTGTGGCACGGGAAATGAAGTATAAATACTGAATTAATTTGCCTAAGTATCTGAACTCAAGCAACCCAATTATATAATTAGAATAATATAAAGTGTTATACACACGTTAATATCTTTTGATATGTTATAATAATTCTTTCATAGAAAACAGCCAAATTATTTGCACAGTAAAATTCCATGTCTGCAATAATATTGGAACCTGCTAATTTGTTCCAATTTACTTAATAACTAAAATTAAAATGTCAGTATATTAGATCAGCGTTATGCAAAATTGTCACACTTCTCAACAAAGCTACATCATCTTATGCTACAGTCCCGATGTATCTCATAATGCCAAAACCGACATCTTCACACAGATGATTTCTAATAATTTACAAATCCTCGGTTAAGTTTTTGACACGTAAGCTGCCCACTGATATGGGAAAAGATAGACCAAGCTCTGCCCCAACCCCCACCTTGTTATTCTTTTGGGGACAGCCAGGCCACTCCAGATGGTGTGTTAGTTAGTGTCGGACATAGCTTTGGAGAAACTTCAACAGACTAAGGCTGTAATGTCAGGATTTTGCTGTGAGTCGCCCCCTCCCCCCCGCAGTTCCCAGGGTAGGAAGGTGCTGAGATAGAAGCCGAGGGACGCCCGCCCACCTGCCACCACCTGTTCCCTCCTTCAGCTCTCTGCTATAAATTCTCCTCCCTCCAAGACTCATCCCGCACTCTCCGACAGCTACTGCGCTAAAAGCGCTCCTTCCCTGAGCTTCGGGAAAGAGTTCATCTTCCTGCAAAGGAGTCTCAGGCTTTCCCAGAGGACTTGAAAGGCCTTCCTCGAACCAGCTACACCAAACTCTGCTGCAGAAGGTTTCCTTCTCTTTTTCAACTTCACGTTGAGAAAATGACTTTCTCTTGAGCATCTCAATTTCCCCTAAATTTGGGCAAGTGAAGAGATATCAGCCTGGTCATCCAGTAGGACAGAAGGCCGAGTCCCGCACTCCGCCCTGTAAACTATTTGATTGCACGTGAGTTGCTTTGTTTATGACTTATTTGCTCAGAAGAGCCACGTTGGGAAGCGGCTCGAGAAACCAGCCCACGCGCAGGTCCTGAGCGGGCGTGCGTGCGAGGTTGGCGCCTCGCTGCTTGGCGCCAGGGATGAAGTCCTGCAAACCCGGCGGCCCGCCGGCGGGAGCGCGCGTTGCACCCCCGTGCGCGGGCGGCGCCGAGTGCGCGGGCACGTGCTCCGGGGCCGGGCGGCTGGAGAGCGCGGCGCGCAGGCGCCTGGCGGCCAACGCGCGCGAGCGCCGCCGCATGCAGGGGCTCAACACGGCCTTCGACCGCTTACGGAGGGTGGTTCCCCAGTGGGGCCAGGATAAAAAGCTGTCCAAGTACGAGACCCTGCAGATGGCGCTGAGCTACATCATGGCTCTGACCCGGATCCTGGCCGAGGCCGAGCGATTCGGCTCGGAGCGGGACTGGGTGGGTCTCCACTGTGAGCACTTCAGCCGCGACCACTACCTCCAGTTCCCGGGCGCGAAGCTGCCTGGCGAGAGCGAGCTGTACAGCCATAGACTCTTCGGCTTCCAGCCCGAGCCCTTCCAGATGGCCACCTAGGGCGCGCGCCTCCGCGGCGGTGGATGCCCGGCAGCCGCTCCGAGCCGCGGCCCTGCCCCAAGTAGCCCAGAAGCCTCCGGCAGCCCCGGATTCTAAGAATGCGTTCCTCGAGGAAAATCAGTCAATTCTCAGATTACCTTTATTTGCATCATCAGACCTATGGACGCAATAATTTAATTGCCTTTCTTTTCCCCTCCTTCTATTTTGTAGATTTCATTAATGGATCTTGTGAATGGGTTGATTGCTGTGGAAATAATGCCCCCTTTCCCCTTTTCTGGGCTACTCTGAGGGAAAACAATCTTAGGAAAAAAAATAGGATTAGGCTATTCTGTTCCAGTCCTCAGAGAAATAATCACTTTCTTAAACTTTGTGAGTTTGTCCTGTTCAGGTGAAGTTACGGTATCCATTACTTGTGTTTGCTCACAATAGAGCTACCTTCCTGTTGTGTAAATGCGTTTTTGCTTTAGTGCATTGTGTGTGCATGCATGAAGTAGAAACACTTTTTTTTTTCGGGGTACAGTACATGGGTATCGGTGCTCTGTATTTTTTTAAACTGTGTACACATTATTATAGATTTTATAAAATATAAATAAAAACGTGGATTTGTTTTTCATGCTAACTACCTTGCCAGTTTCCTGATGGCGCTAAAGAACTCTTTGGAGGTGATGATATAGAATGCTTCCCTGAGCAAAGATGTGGAATGTTTAAACCTAATATGACCAATAAACAAATGTGCTGCTCTGTAGTACTTCCTCAAAAAGCTGATGAGAGTACATGTAATTAATTTGAACATTTTCTCTGTCAACTTGTAAATTTTTTGTTGATTTTTTAAAAGATTAAAGTGAAATATTTAGCTTTTAAGTAACTAGATACACAGTTCCTCAATATTTTATTACCCACATTAAGCAGATTACTAAGTCCTTACAAGTACCCAAATGTATGTAGTTATATGTATACAGTAATGTATATATACACATATATACAGGAACACGCACATGTATTTCTAAAACTAACACATAAATTAAAAATATTGCCTTTGGAAGTGATTTTCTTTTTTTTTTTCAGACAGAATCTCGCTCTGTCACCCAGGCTGGAGTGCAGTGGCGCGATCTCGGCTCACTGCAAGCTCCGCCTCCCGGGTCCACGCCTCCCAAGTAGCTGGGACTACAGGCGCCCGCCACCATGCCCGGCTAATTTTTTTGTTTTTTGATATTTTTAGTAGAGACAGGGTTTCACCGTGTTAGCCAGGATGGTCTCGATCTCCTGACCTTGTGATCTGCCCGCCTTGGCCTCCCAAAGTGCTGGGATTACAGGCATGAGCCACTGCTCCCGGCCGGAAGTGATTTCCTTTTAATCAGTACAAGTTGGACAATGAGGGCTTCACTACCATCAAGACCAATCAAAATGGGAGCAAAATAATAAACATGGTATTGATCTGAATTACTTTTATTAATTTGCTTAACCATTGCATGAATAAACCAAGCCTTCATGTAAAGAGTGACTTGGTGAAGAGTGGTACATGCATTTAGGAGAATGTCTTACTCATAATTAGGAAAAGCAGGACTCTAAGTTATCTATGCATTTGGAATTTGTCTTGTCACAAGTCAACAAAAAACACCAATCACTCCCAAAACTCTTTTATTTTGGATTCCAAAGTCTAACCTCAGACACAGCTGCCTCTTCGCAGTTTATCTACAGACTTTATTACAATTTTTATTTTCTTAGTTATCCCTATCAAAATCCATTTGGTTTGTAATGAGGGAAAGTGTCTTCCCCAGCCCATACCTACATTTACACTTAAAAAAATCACAAGTGGGCCAGGCGCAGTGGCTCATGCCTGTAATCTCAGTACTTTGGGAGGCCGAGGCAGATGGATCACCTGAGGTTAGAAGTTCGAGACCAGCCTGACCAACATGATGAAACCCTATCTCTACTAAAAATACAAAATTAGCCAGGCGTGGTGGCGTATGCCTCTAATCCCAGCTACTCGGGAAGCTGAGGTAGGAGAATCGCTTGAACCTAGGAAGGGGAGGTTGCAGTGAGCCGAATTGCGCCATTGCACTCCAGCCTTGGCAATAAGAGCAAAACTCCGTCTAAAAAAAAAAAAAAAAAAAAAAAATCACAAGTGTATTTTCAGAAGCCCTTAGGGAGTTTGAAGCTGCATTTCCCTTTCCAGGTGATATCTGTTAATAAGAAACAGAGGAGAGCTCAGAACTTTGCTTACTGCAAATTTGATAGTAAACTGAAAATTTAGAAACTGCAAATTCGATAGTGAAATGTTTAACCTCTTGACTTCACCAACTCTTAAAAGACGCTGTGTAATCTAGCAGACAAACAACACAATTCTAGAAGTGATGATGCCAGGACCCCTTTCTAGTCACAACTCCACTCTGCAGTGTGCACTTGGGTCAACAGCAAGATTCAAGGCATTTGCCTTCCTCGCTATTAGGGCACAATAGTCTACTTACTCAGATCTCCTGAAAAGCTTCATTAGTAACTCCAGTAAGTGTGCAGAGTTTGAGAATGAGCAAAATCGGTGCTTTTGTCAGAGAACATCTCAAAAATATATTAAGATCATTAGTCATTTTCCAGGTAGGGTGTCACATCTCCCTCTCTGAACTGTAAGTACCTTGTGAAAGAGTAGTATGCTTTTCATTATCTGTCTATGGCTTCTAGTATAGGGCTTTGCACAGAAAAAAAATTATTTTTTCAACAGATATTTCATTTTTGGCTACTAATTTAACAACACTTTCTTAAGAAATAAAACAATTTAATTAAAATGATGGGATTCTAATCTCATACTTCTTCCCTAACCTCACTCCTCCAAAAGAATGGGAGTCTGTCTTTGAAATATTAAGCCTTTAGCTGTCTACTTCTGTGTTTTGAAGATTTCTGGAAGCAACTTAGCTCTTGCCAAATTTCTAAACTTTCCACTCCACTCAATGTACTATTTTTTTTTTTCCTGGAAGACATTTGAGGGAACAGTAAATGAGCCTCAGTGATAAAATCCAATCTTTGATGAAACTCTTCAAACTGTATGTTGAGAGATCCATTGTGGTTTATGAAGTAGGAGCTCAGATAAAACCAAGTCTAAAATCTTTCTGCAGTCAAGATTCATCTATCATGATATGTAATAGAATTTAGATTACCAAGCAACCTAAAACTTGCTATAGTATTTTATACTGTTCATCTTGAAAATTCATTTTCTTTCTAGTTTGACAAGACATTAAAATTCAAAAATATTTTTGTATCTGCGCTCCCTTTTTTCAACAAATCAACAAATATTATCAAGTACCTACACATACCCAGTCTTATGTGACACCATTCTTGTCCTTAGCTAGACAACCAAAAGAGAACACACATGTTCTAATCAATAAGTAGTCCTAAACAGAGTTTAGCCGAATCCTTCAATAGTGTAGTACCAGGGATATGTGCTATAAAAGCTCCTAAGAGAGGGGCATTAAATAATAAAGGAAGACCTCCTCTGAAAGTTTAACTAGCTATTATTATATGTGGGCACTCCCTGGGTGCAGGCTAGAGACTGAGCTCCCAAACCCCAAGGTCAGAACTCTTGAAGAACCACATACAAATGAACGGGACTATCAAGATGGGAAAGGTGACTGGGCACCGTGGCTCATTCCTGTAATCCCGGCACTTTGGGAGCCTGAGGCAGGAGGGTAACTTGAGGCCAGGAATTCAAGACCAGCCTGGGCAGCAAAACGAGACTCTATCTCTACAAAAAAATTAGCTAGGTGTGGTGGTGTGCATCTGTAGTCCCAACTACTCTGGAGGCTGAGTCGGGGGAGGATTGCTTGAGTCCAGGAGTTCCAGGTTGCAGTGAGCTATGATTGTGCCTCATCACTCCAGCCTGGGTGTCAGAGTGAGATCCTGTCTCAAACACAAAAACAAAAACAAAAAAAAATGGAACAATCCAGCATTAATCTCATTACCAAAAACTGGTTATACTGACTTCTTATACTTTCTATTTGTAGATCTTAAGAAGATGAGGCTAAACATCCAATATAGCCAGCTTCTTAATGAGTTGACATTTATACTAATGAAGATCTAAAATTTCTGCTAGATATGGCCCAAATGGGGGTGTATTTAGGTTGTGGTTAGTGGAGCTGCAAGATTCAACAATTAAGGTTCAATTCACTTAAATTTTGCCATATTACAGTAAAAGCAAAGTGCTATTTTGGTACTGAATTTGGCTAGTATCTACTCTCTGTCTAGACATCACTGAAGGTATCTCTTTTCTACACCTATGGGTGAAAGAAATTTCTTTCTTTTCTTTTCTTTTTTTTTTTAAGATGGTGTCTCGCTCTGTCACCCAGGCTGGAGTGCAGTGGTGCAATCTCGGCTCACTGCAAGCTCCACCTCCTGGGTTCGTGCCATTCTCATGCCTCAGCGTCCCGAGTAGCTGGGACTACAGGCGCCCGCCACCATGTCTGGCTAATTTTTTGTATTTTTAGCAGAGATGGGGTTTCACCATGTTAGCCAGGATGGTCTTGATCTCCTGAACTCATGTTCCGCCCATCTCGGCCTCCCAAAGTGCTGGGATTACAGGTGTGAGCCACCGCACCTGGCCAGAAATTTCAAAGTACATATAAGACTATAAATATATGATCTGTTGTTGCATATGTACACCTTTTTCCTTCTCTGGTTATACATATACTAGTGGGTACAAATGTTAACAAGTATTATATTGAATTTACATAGGATTTTTAGATTGCTATTTCAGATGAATAGTGTATCCCCAAAATACCGAAGCTGAAAGACAACAGTCATACATCGCTCAACAATGGGCATACATTCTGAGAAATGCATTGTTAGGTGATTTCATCGTTGTATGAACATCATAGAGTGTACTTACACAAACTAGATGGTCTAGCCTGCTATACACCTAGGCTATATGGTATAGCCTATAGCTCCTAGTCTATAAACCTGTGCAGCATGTTACTGTACTGAATACTGTGGAAAATTGTAACACAATGGTAATTATTTGTGTTTCCAAACATAGAAAAGGTATAGCAAAAATACAGTATAAAAGATAAAATATGGCACACCTATATAGAGCACTTACCATGAATGGAGCTTGCAGGAATGGAAGCTACTCTGGCTGAGCCAGTGAGTGAATGGTGAGTGAATGTGAAAGCCTAGGGCATTACTGTACAGCACTGCAGACTTTATAAACACTGTACACTTAGGCTACACTCAATGTATAAAATATTTTCTTTCTTTAATAATAAATTAACCTCGGCCGGGCGCAGTGGCTCAAGCCTGTAATCCCAGCACTTTGGGAGGCCGAGACGGGCGGATCACAAGGTCAGGAGATCGAGACCATCCTGGCTAACATGGTGAAACCCCGTCTCTACTAAAAATACAAAAAACTAGCCGGGCGAGGTGGCGGGCGCCTGTAGTCCCAGCTACTCCGGAGGCTGAGGCAGGAGAATGGCGTGAACCCGGGAGGCGGAGCTTGCAGTGAGCTGAGATCCGGCCACTGCACTCCAGCCTGGGCGACAGAGCGAGACTCCGTCTCAAAAAAAAATAAAATAAAAATAAAAATAAATAAATTAATTAATTAACCTCAGCTTATTGGTGATTTTTTTACATTTTCAAACTTTTTGACTCTTGTAAAAGCACGTTGCTTAAAACACAAACACGCTGTGCAGCTATACAAAAATATTTTATTTCTATTCTTATGCTATACAATTTTTTTTAATTAAAATTTAATTTTTTTTTTTTTTTTTTTTTTTACTTTTTAAACTTTTTTTGTTAAAAACTAAGACATAGAAACACACATTAATGGCCGGACATGGTGGCTCATGCCTGTA